ATCATTTTACACTAGTGTAAGGTGCAAACTGTCTAATTTTGTCCGTTAAAAATATCCTGTCCCTATATATATATATATATATATATGTTGGTAGAATAATTTTACACACCTCATCTGAAAGTTATTAGAAAAAAAAATATCAACGACTCTGATTCGTAAGCATGTGATACCATTGATCTTTTTTGATCTAACGGCTCTCAGATGAGATGTCAAATTTCAAATTTGATACTGGTGTCAAAGGATCTACCTCTCTCTATATATATATATATATATATATATATATATATATATATATATATTATGTTAGAGTATAATATAAACCATTAAAAAAGTTCTCACCCAACAACTTAAATTTTTGGGTTGAATTATTTTTCATATGATATCAAAGTCTCGTGTCCCAAGTTTGATCCTTGTCGTCCCTCTTTTTTTTTGTGAAATTTCTTAATACAGATAGACTAGGCTTGATGCATCATTCACCTTTTAAACCGAATGTGCTCTCTTATGATGGGGTGTGTTAAAATGTAATATTTGTGTTGAATTGATTCTTTATATAATATATAATTATATTGATATCCAGCATATTAAATAAAAACAAATCACTCAATATCTATCATATTTTTTATGTTTTCGCTTTTTCTGCAGTAAGCCCAATACGACGTTGTTTTGGGACGAAAATTATAGTATTTTTGTAATTTTAATTTATTTCAGGGTTATAATAGTCTTTATGTTTATAATTTTTTAAGATTTCAATACCAAAACGATGTCGGTTTGGGAATATTTGGAAATAAATGCAAATAACTTATCTGCAGTAACTGCAGAAACATTTTTCTCATTTTTTATTCCTTAAAAATGTCTTCAGTACTTACATAAAAAATTCAAAATTCGAATTTATCATAAAGAAAATATTTTTTTATGTTAAAGAAGATAAGTTATCTTTCTTACACTAATAAAAAGAGAGGAGGGATATTCTTACTACTAAAATTTTCTACTACAAACTCACTACCTATCTAATCATTATTGGATCAATATTTTCTCTTTTTTCAAAATCTTTTTAGCATTCTCTCTCTTTGATTCAATGGTGATTAGATAGGTAATAAGTTAGTAGTAGAAAATTTTGGTAGTAAGAATATCCTTCCTCATAAAAAGATGGGTCTCATTAGCTTTTTTATTTTATTTTATTTTTTTCAAATATTTATTTCTATAATATGAAATAATTTATTTCCCGTAACTTCAAATTAATAACACTCTTTATCGTAATAAGTTAAACGGAAATGTAACTATAATGTTACTGGTGATTAAAACATCTTCGTGCAAAGCCATCCACAAGAGTGCCTCCCTCTTTTTCTTTTTGAAACATCATTGGGCCACCTGGAGTTGTATATGCAGAAACTCAACTTTTCTCCGACAATTGAAAAAAAGTAATTGGGCCACCTGGAGTTGTATGTGTAGAAACTCAACTTTTCTCCTGGAAAAAAGTTAGCCCCGAAGTTAAAACATATAGATCTACTTCTTTGCCTTTTTTGGGGGGGATACAGAAAAAAGTAATAACATCTTTGCTTCACGTACAACAGAATAAAGAAATTTCTTGCAGAGACTCGATGCATAAGGATAACTGTACATCATGCCGGAACCTAAAGGGTATTGAAATTGCCCGTTAAATGAGTATCAATCTTTACATTATTATTTTCATTCATTATTTTAACATCAAAAAAAAATTATTTTGGAAGGTTATAACTGCAGAATATCTGATCTGCATCATACCAATGATGGGCATACAGACAAGATTGATTTTTGAAACACGTTGCACCCAGTTTATGCAGAGAGTCCTAACAGAGTTAAGAATAATTGAATTTGAAAAAGAGTAATAGAGGAAATAAAAAGAAAGGAAAGTAGGGTAGGCAACCTCCAATTATGACACAACTTTGATCCACCCAAAATTCAATTGCTAAAAATCTTAGTCCTAAAACACAGGTATAATACAACCAGGCATGAAACTACGTTTCTAACCTTCCCAAAAAAGCTACATTTTTGTGTTTTCCACTTATTTTAACAAAAGAATTAAGAGTAGGAATCTTGGTAAAACCTGCTTGATGCAAAATGGTCTAAGGACTAGTAACTCTGCTAAGGTGAGGTAAGGTGCACGACCGATTAAAGAATCTCAAAACCTGAGACGCTGCCGGATCTTCAAGTGAAAGGCCTTAATCCGAGACATGGCCACACGTTGTTCTTCCATATGTGCTCAATGCAAATGGAGACAGGCCGTCCTCGGAGTCAGAGACATTGCCGCTTGTTTTTCTTCTTCTCACATATGGGCATAAAGGACTCAATGCCAAAGGTGCCAGACTCCCTCTTGTTATCTTATGCAAATCTGATATTTTGCTTGAGCCTTTTCTCGAAGTGCTCAACGCATGGCTTGACATGGACCCCTTTTGCATCTTCAAATTGTTGTCAGTATTGACACGTCTCATTCTTCCTGGGCTCAAAGAAGGGCTCATAGTCAGTTGTGACTTTTTCATCTTTAAAGTACCTTTAGAATCTGGGACATGGCCACATTTAGTTAATGGTGACTGATCTCGTTTTCTCAGCCTTAAAGTGGACTTGGAATCGGAGACATGGCCCTCACATCTTTTTCTCCTAATTGAGCTTGAAAGAGTCGACACTAACGGTGATTGACCTCCTTTGTTGATATTGGAATTCTGCTCCAATTCAGGGCCACGACAAGGTCTTGTTCTACTCGGGCTTGAAAACGGTGATTGACCTCCTTTGTTGATATTGGAATTGTGCTCCAATTCAGAGACACGACAAGGTCTTGTTCTACTCGGGCTTAGAGGATTCGATGCCACTGACGACCGATTCCCCCTTAAAATGCGACCCGATGAAGCTGGTGGTAATGATTTCGTCACTCGCAATTTTGGCTTTCCTGTTTCAACCAATTTAACATAGATTTAGTTTATTCCAATCACATTGATCAAAGTATCAAACTCACTGTGACACCAAAAAACTACTAATCCTAATTCCTTAGCAATATATACTACTCCCGTCCCGTTATCATGAAAAACCATAAATGCATAATTCATGCATGGTATAAAATAAAAGCCCATGAAAACTACATGTAGCAAGAAAAATTGAGGTAAGATCAAAAGGAATCGAGTGTGCACAGCTAACCTTGGTCTTTCTTGGCCTTCACTTGTGTTGGTTTCTTTATTGTAACCCTTTTTCTCGACGGGGCTTCGGAACAGACGGACTGTGTGTCACCACAAATTGACCTTGGATAGGTTACTAATGGGAATGGATCTTCCACTGTGGATGCGTTATCATCTCCACTAACTGTGTTTTGATCATCATTTTCGTCCCTACACACGGAGGGTTCATCCTTTACCGGCTCGCAGCTCTTATCTTTAGTATTATTATTCTGACTGATCTTCCCTTTCTCCACAACTTTATAAGCAAACATTTCATATGGTATTTGTGATACAACGCACAGATTAGATGTCCTCTCCATTGGAAAGTTCTTGAGGAACATTGTTTCTATGTCACAACAATCTACAGGTGGGGACTGCAGTTCAAGCTGATTGAGTTCAGGATTGATGACGTGGTATTCAGTATTCATGGAAAGGAACTTTTTGGTGTAGCGCAAAATCCTACAGATTGATGAGAAAGTAGGACGCTGAGCAGGGTCAGTTTGCCAGCACTTTTTGATCAAGCTGACAATGTATTTTGGGGAACGGAATGGGAAAAGAGGTCTCTCTCCAGCTTTTATATTTTGTTTAGTTCTGTCACCTTGAAGATGGTTATCTTCGAAAGGCACTTTACCTGTCAGCAACTCAAAACAGATCATCCCAAAGCTGTATGCATCTGCTTTCTCTGAGTACTTGCAAGAGGTAGATGCATTTCCTGTTTGTTCTAGCTCGGTTAGAACTTCAGGGGCATACCAAATAGTAGGGTTGATCTCTTCACTAATGGGATTATGGGTTGGCGAGCTTCGAGTATTGTCATTATTCTTCAAAGAAGAAAGGCCAAAGCCTGCAACTTTTGCTTGAAAATAACCTTCTTGGGAGTTCCTGGCTCTGAGTAGGATATTCCAAGGGTTAAGGTCTCCATGGTAAATCTTTTTGGAGTGGAGGTACTCAATGCCTCTGGCCATTTGAAGCATGAGATCCACCACAACAGGGATAGAGAACAAAATCTGTCTCCTTGGACCACAATTCTCCTTCATATAGGTCCACATGTCCTTGTTCATCAACTCCATCACAAGAGAAAATTCTTTCTTCTCCTCATCATAAAACCCACAGAGGTATTGCAATATGTTGGGATGAGAGAGGGATACAAGAGTGGAAACCTCAGCCTCATGAGCTTGTCTCTCCCCATGAAAGTGCCTCAACGCAAAGCTTTGTCCGTGCCATTGGATTTCTTTAAACTCCTTTCCCCGTGCTAATCTTCTTCTCACCTGGTAATCCTTAGATCCTAACAGCACTGCAATCGGAGAGAGTGGTTCCTTGCTCTTTTCTGATCCATTCAGCAGTTTCTTCAGCAGGATATCAGCAAGGCTTCTCTCGTTCTTTGTAAATGTGACTTTTGTAGAACCCTTCTTCTCCTTGAGTGCTTCTATGAGCCTCCATCTATCTTCCATCCAAGCATTCTCCAACTGCTTGCAGATCTCACGAGGGACCAAATATTGCTTCCCGAATCTCCATTGAAAAAGTTTCGGGTCATTCCATTCCATGTCATACTTCCTTGCTAGCATCACTTTCTTCTTCTCCTTCTCATCCTCATCAAGCCCTGATATCTCCCCAGCGTTCTCAATTGCCTCAATCACAGCAGGGAAATAACACAACAAGTTGTGAATATGAAATTCAACGCAGTCTCTATTGTGAGAAAGGGTGATTGCTTTCCCCCACCAATCCTTGGTATCCAAGCAATGCTTGATGTAGAGCTCACCCTCTTTGAAAACCCTGCAAAGCTCTCTCAGAGGAAACTCGAGGGGTTTCCATTTGGTATTCCTCTCTTCAAGCTTCAGGTTCTGCCTGATCTCATCTCCGATCGTCTCAAATGCCAGACTGAAGATATCGACAATCAAACCGCATTGACGTTGATTGATCTGAATTTCATCGCGCAAAACCATGAGTGCTTTCAGACTCCCAATAACCTCTCCAATATGCCGGAACTGCTCCATTCCGGCTTATAGTATAAGCACCAATCAAAAATCAAAATCTACAAAACCACCAAAAACAAATGAAAACAGAACAAATCTCATAACAAAAGGATTGTTCCACGATATGTTTAATTCAATACGCTGAATTAGAAATAGAAAGAACAAGACATGATCATGGAACCATGAATAATACCTGCTGTGAAATTCTTGATGAATCTTTAGGAACCCCAAAGAGACAACAACAAATTGTAGCCAATTATGTGATCAAAGGAAAGAAGGGAAAAAAATGAAATCACATAATACTAATACCAAAGACCAAAAATCTTATCCTTTGGGAGGAAAGAAAGGGGGATGGGGGGCGAGGGTGTTTTGTTTTGTTTTTTGTTTTGGTAGCAAGCTGGTATGATGATGAAATTGATGAATAAAGCTGTACAAGACAAAACAGAAAAAAAAAACTGACAAAAAACATTTAACTCAAAGGGAAACGGAAACTCTGAGGCAGGTTTTTTGTCAGGTTGAGGATTAGGAAATGTTACTAGGATGTTGGTCCAGTCAAGGATTCAACTAAGGAAGCAGTTTCACCTTCCTTCTTACCTCAGAGTTTCCGAAAGGACTATACAGAATGCAAATGGCCGTTGCATATCTCCGTCCTTTTTGGGGTTCCCTCGAGTTTCGTCTTCCCACATGGCCACATCTATCTATATATAAATTGTCTATTACCAAAGCAAAGGAAGGTCCTCCTCATTCACAACCGTTTTTAGAATTTTGACGCCAGCTTGGGTCTGCCTCATTATGAAAAATTAAAAAATGGAAATGAATTACTTATTTATTTTATCTGTAAATCTTAATCATTAAAATAATTTCAAGTAAATCTGAGATGTTAAGGGGGCGTTTGGTTCAGGTGAATTTTTTTGAATACTAGGGAAATAGGAGAAATGTTTGGAAAATGAGTTTGGTAGGAAAGTTAAAAAAAAGTTGTTTAGTTGGAAAAAATATTATCAGGCAAATTGATTAAAGTTATTGAAGTCTATGTTTGGTTCAAGATAAAATATTGATGGTAAATGATATAAAATTACAAAACTAACCCCTTAATAATTATAAAGTCACTGTATGCAACCTTCAACAGTCTTATTCTGATTTATCAGAAGAGTAGTTCAGTCATATATGAAGTTCTATGTATCCTATTTGCCTGGTTATCACACAATACTACATTGAAAGTGGAAATCTTCGTCTGTGTTTCTCGTTTTTTTTTTTTTGCAAAGAATTGTGAAAGTTAGACAACTCACTTTGGTGGGGAAATTTTAAAAAAAGTTGAACCAAACGTTGGTTCGTAAATTTCCAATTTGTATTGCCTGGGATTATCTTGAGAAAACCCGAACCAAACAGCCCCTAATAAGGGAATATTGGGTTCCCCAATTCTCATTCCCTCCTTAAAATTATTGATATACACTTGTCAAAAAATTTATTTAAGGAGTGTATTGGATTGGAATTTCAAAGGATTTTAATGGATTATTTTTAGACAAAAAAATTCATTGGTATTCGATTAGAATTTTAAAAGATTGAAAAAAAGTCATTTGATATTTGATTAGGATTTTAAAAGATTATTTTATAGTCCGTCCAAATCTGTTGGTATTCAATTAGGATTTGAAACAAAGGAAAAACAATCTTGTAGTATTCAAAAATCTTACGATTTTAATGAATTTTCTATTGGTGTGGATTTCACGAAACTTTTTAGTAAAAAATATAATTAGGATGTCTCTCTCACAAAATCTCTCCCTAATCCCTAGGATTTCTTAAGATTTCTCTAGTGCAGTGTCTTCTTCTTCCTTTGGTGGGTCGACCCACTTGAAATCGAGTTCCGCCATAGGAGCTCTCAAATCTTATAAATTCTATTAAAATTCAATCTTATGAAATCTTAATTGTAAAAAAAGTCTTTTAAAAAATTCTTTAAAGTCTCTCTAATTCTGAATAGTCTTTTAAAATCTATAAAATTTTCTATCTTAAAAAAGTCTTTTAAAATCTTAATCCAATACACCCCTTAATATATGTCAAGATTAAAGGTTGTGCTTATAACCTATGTAGCACCGATACCGATACGGGACACGTGACACGACACTCTGACACGTTAATTCTAAAAAATGTTAGATTTCGACACGTTAGGACACGTTTTGATATTAAATAATATTTTTAATTTATGTACTGTATATTATATTTAATATTCAATAATTTAACAGAAAAATGAAGTTAAAGTTATAATACCCATCAATTTTACAAAGAAACATAAGATATCCAAAATATTTATATTAAACTCAATAAAAATGTAATCGAAAGTGTCGGTGCTTCATAGCTTATAGCAGTAAAATAAGCAGTATCCATCTGCATGCGTTTGAAGTAAAAAAAAAAAAATTATTTCTTCTTAGATATATGTTTGAATTTGTTTAATTTTGATTAAAAATAAAAAAATTTAACTGAAAACTGTTTTCACAATATTTTCCCTATTTTCATTATTAACTTTTCTTAGATGCAAAATAAATTAAGTGAGAAAGTCGCAATTAAATTCAGGCATTTTAGGCACAAGCTGTGAGGGTGCAGTCTGCACTCATTAACAGAATAAATTAATATTGTTTAGATAGTACTTATGTTATAATATATTTTTTAATAAAAATAAGAGAAATATACTCTTTAAATAAACTTTTAATAATATTTAGGTATCAAAACCTTTATATTATTTCTATATTTTTAATTAAAATTATACATTAAAGCATATATTTTTCTTATTTTATTATCTAAAATGTAATAGTGTAATAATAAATGGGACTTATGTATGTAATGTTACAGAAAAAATTTATAATTTCCTGCACAGACAACATAGGTGGGGCCTACTGGCTTTTAAAAAAATAAAAAAGTAAAAGTTTGAGGCACAGAATTCAATCACTCTATAACATGTTCTAAACAATTTTATGTAACATGACACTTATAAATTCCATAATAAATTTTTTATGTATAAATATCATTACTTACAAGTTACAATCCACTCCAAGTAAGACGGTTTTTTTTTTAAAAAAAAAAAAAGAAGCCCAACCTACACTTTACGTTGCTATGATCCCTAGATGTCCAGTTTCTTTCATGTATTTATCTTCCTTTCTCTATTAAGATTTTTCTTCGCAATTTCGGAATTCAATTTGAGATTTCATTTTTCAGTATCGTCCAAATTGACTCGGAAACGATTAACTAATCTGGGGCCAAGCTGACTCTGTCAACGGTGTTGTCAAGTCTAGAAACAAATTACAACTATCAATCACACTCAGTTTTTGAATCACCGTTTCCAATATTTATACGTTATTTTGACATGGATTTAAACACTATTGTTGCCGCTTTTAATCTGACCCTGACTGGCCTTATGTAAGGCTTAATTGCTAATGTAGATTGAAGGACTTGTATTTAAATCGTAGCAATTAGTATTTAGACAGTGTCCTCAGCTCAAAAATAATAGACAAAAAAAAAAAATCCAGCTCCCTTTTATTTGCCTGTGTTGACACGCTATATAGAAGCCAAGACAATAAACAGCAAAAAGATCAAAAAGTCTACTTAGGTGTTCAGCCGAAGGCGAAGGACTCATAGGTTGTTTGTTGTATGGACTCAGAATATGGATGTACATGGGTCGAACCGAATCGGATTTTTTAAAAAATCGAATCGGATTTTTTAAAAAATCGAATTGGTTTAAATGGTTCGGTTCAGAAGTGGTTCGGTTCAAAACTGGTTCAGTTCGGAAGTGGTTCGGTTCGGTTCAGAACCAGTTCGGAAGTGGTTCGAAACCAGTTCGGGTCGACCCTCTTTTGAAAAGAAAAAAAAAATTAAAATTTAAAAAATAAAGTTTTAAAAATTAATTTGGTTTGATTTGAAAATGGTTTAGTTCGGTTCGGAACCGGTTCGGTTATTAAACCGGTTCTAAAAATCGGTTCGGTTCTTAAACTGGTTCTAAAATCCGATTTGGTTCTTAAACCGGTTCTAAAAACCGGTTCGGTTCATGAATCGGTTCTTTAAAAACCGGTTCGGTTCTTTAAAAACCGGTTCGGTTCATGAACTGATTTTTAAAAACTGGTTATTTTATGGGGTGGTTCAGTTCGGTTCGGTTCATGGTTTGACCCACTTTTATGGTTATTTTGCACACCCCTAACTCAGAATATGATTAATATAGGAGGTACCAAAAAATTCTTATGAGCATTTGGAGGTGCAATTGGATGGTTTTTGTTGCGTATAACGGCAAAGAAAGGGTGATGGGATGTTCATATTCAGAGTACTTAAAAAGAGGGTAAACCAGGGGCGCAATTACTTTGGTTCGGGAGTAAAAAAAATGAAATGGGACTGAGGTGAGAAAAAAAAAAAATGAAGAGAGATGAGAGAAAAAAAAAATTGAATGGAAGAACTATAATAATCCTGAAACATATTAAAAAATTCTGTAAATAAGAGAGCAATATGTAAATGGTGAAAGGTCCGTGCTTTATAGTAAGAATGCAGTAAGAATGCACGTATAATAGATAGTTGTGCAAGGTTGTAGAATGTATGAGGTGACATCAACTATCAAAATTAAAAGTATAATTTTTTTTTTTGGACATTACAGGAATCGAACCGCACACCTAATACACTCTAAACACACCCAACACCACTAGGCTATCTCTGGTGGTGCAAAAGTATAATTTATATTGATATAAAATAATTTTAATCTTTTATATATATATATGATATAGGATCCTTTGACACCAGTGTTAAATTTTAAATTTGACGCCTCATATGAGAGTCGTTAGATCAAAAAAGATCAATGGTGTCACATGCTTACAAATCAGAGTCGTTGATCTTTTTTGATCTAACGACTCTCAGATGAGGTGTCAAATTTAAAATTTGACACTGGTGTCAAAGGAATATATATATATATATATATATATATATGTTGTTATAGAGAGAGTACTGCAGTGTGTATTTTGTTTGTTTTATTATAAAAAAGGCAACATAAAATAAAATTATGTATAGAAATGAAACATTATTGATATAAGGTTTGTTTTTTCTGCCGTCACTGCAGATAAATTATCTGCAATAAACTCAATACGACGTCGTTTTGGGAGCGGAAATCATAATTTTTGTAATTTTAATTTTTTTTGGGTTATTATAGTCTTTATTGTTGGAATTTATGTTGACAATCTATTGGTTATGAATAAGAAGTGAGTTAAGAAAGAAAAGAGAAGAGGAAAACTGAATGGGTGTGTGGGTTTAAGAAGTCTCACATTGGACAACTAGTAGGAGGTGAGAGAGTTTATAAACTCTCACCTCACTCTCCTAAATTGGCCCTTGGATCACTACACATTTTGTGAAGGGGAGGAGCTAGGTGGGCTTAGAACCACCACACACATACGCGCCGCCGTCCGTCCGACTCGGATCGGTTCGGTTCGGTCCGATTCGGTTCATATGTGTACATAAAAATAACCTTTCGCGAACTGGTCACCGGTGATCGTTCGCCGCCGACGGCGATTCATCGTGACCGGTCAGTGTCTATAAATAGACACTGACCCCCCAGAAATTCTATCCGGTTTGCATATTTCTGTTCTTCCTCCGGTGTAATCCCTGTGTTGCATCAACCTTTGGCTCGAATT